GGCGCCCCCCCCCGAGGACATCTGCACATGGTTGGGCCCCTCGCCAGGATGTTTTTCTCGGCGCCGACCTCGCAGTGCAGGAGCTCGGTCCTGAGGGCAGGCGCCCCCCGAGGACGTCCGCCGCTTCTCGGGCCCCGGTTGCCCCCGCGGGCGCAGGCCGGCCCACGTGTCGAGGCCCCCGGTTGCCCTCGGGGCCTGTATTTCTCGAGGCCCGCCTGGGGTTATGTCGGGCGTGCCCACCTACAGAGGGATTTTCGACGAAAGATATAACATACTCCAAAGAGTACCCCAAAAAGGCAAAACAATAGTAGAAAAATCGTACGGGGAGTGTTTCTTGAGCATTGTTTGGCTATTTGGGGGGTATTGTTTGGCTATTTTTGGAGGTATGTTTTATTCTTCGTCGACAATCACCCTGTAGGTGGACAGGCCCGACGTAAGTCTGGTGGGGCCGCGCGCAGCCGAGCTCGCGGTGCAGCCTGCGAGCGCGCGCGCGCGCGGCCTGCCTCGCCGCGGCCGCGGGGCTCTCTGCGCCCCGGGGCGCCCACCGAGGATGGAGCCCCGGCCGGCCCTCGGGGGGGAGCTTCGGGTCTCTGCACGAACGAAATGGGCACGGCGGATCTTGTTCCTTTTGAACAGGACTCGCTGTCTACGCCGCCGCGGCCTGTGTCCATTCGAGACAGAAGGCCGCCTGCCCAACAGCGGCCGCTGTTGGTTTGGGACAACATTTGTTGCTGGGCATTGTGCCCATTCTTTCCGTACCCACTTCGGGCGTCCAAAGGGTCGGGGCTAAAGATCGGCGACTACAATCGGTGCAGTTACGCCAGGGTGCGGTTTGCGATTCGCTTTGTGGCGGCCTTTCCGGGGCCTCTGCGAGAGACAATGTCATAATCGTCGTCGTTTCGAGCGACACTGTCATCCTCGATGTGTGCTCCACTGTATTAGAAGGAGCGACAGTGTCATGTGATCCGGTCGCATTGAGTGACAGTGTCATCCTTTTCCCGGAGGCGGGAGGGGCAGATATGGCGGGAGGCAAACCGCACCCTTCGCAAACCGCATCCATTGTAGTCGCCGGCAAGAGACGGGGGTCAATGCAAACGGGGTCAGCCAGGGCACCAGATCCTGCAGGATCTTGCGAGGACCCCCTCTGGCTGACCCGGGCCAGCGAGCCGCTCGTGGCCGCGAGGCGGCCGCGCATATATTGGCTGACCCGGGTTTGCGAAGACCTGCGTTGCATTTTTTTTCCCAACCATCCTGTGGTGTTGGGTCCTCGTTTTGAAGAGACGGTGCCCCGCGTCTCCTTCCTCCTTCCTCCTCCTCCGCCCTCCTCCCCCTCTTCCCTGCGTTTCACCCGCCCAGTACAGCGTTTCGTAGCCCCACAGGAGCTCCGCCGAAGGCCCCATGGCTGCCGTCCGCATGCGTCCCGCCCACCCATTTCGGCACACCCCTCACACGTTTCGTGGCCCCATAGGGAGCTCCACCGAAGGCCCCAGTGCTGCCGTCCGCATGCGTCCCGCACACCCATTTCGGCACACCCCTCACACGTTTCGTGGCCCCACAGCTCCACCCCCATGGCACACGTTTCGTGGCCCCACAGGGAGCTCCACCGAAGGCCCCAGTGCTTCGGCACACCCCGTTTCGTCATGCACGGCACACCCCTCACACGTTTCGTGGCCCCATAGGGAGCTCCACCGAAGGCCCCAGTGCTGCCGTCCGCATGCGTCCCGCACACCCATTTCGGCACACCCCTCACACGTTTCGTGGCCCCATAGGGAGCTCCACCGAAGGCCCCATGGCTGCCGTCCGCATGCGTCCCGCACACCCATTTCGGCACACCCCTCACACGTTTCGTGGCCCCACAGGGAGCTCCACCGAAGGCCCCAGTGCTGCCGTCCGCATGCGTCCCGCACACCCATTTCGGCACACCCCTCACACGTTTCGTGGCCCCATAGGGAGCTCCACCGAAGGCCCCATGGCTGCCGTCCGCATGCGTCCCGCACACCCATTTCGGCACACCCCTCACACGTTTCGTGGCCCCACAGGGAGCTCCACCGAAGGCCCCAGTGCTGCCGTCCGCATGCGTCCCGCACACCCATTTCGGCACACCCCTCACACGTTTCGTGGCCCCATAGGGAGCTCCACCGAAGGCCCCATGGCTGCCGTCCGCATGCGTCCCGCACACCCATTTCGGCACACCCCTCACACGTTTCGTGGCCCCACAGGGAGCTCCACCGAAGGCCCCAGTGCTGCCGTCCGCATGCGTCCCGCACACCCATTTCGGCACACCCCTCACACGTTTCGTGGCCCCATAGGGAGCTCCACCGAAGGCCCCATGGCTGCCGTCCGCATGCGTCCCGCACACCCATTTCGGCACACCCCTCACACGTTTCGTGGCCCCACAGGGAGCTCCACCGAAGGCCCCAGTGCTGCCGTCCGCATGCGTCCCGCACACCCATTTCGGCACACCCCTCACACGTTTCGTGGCCCCAGGGAGCTCCACCGAAGGGGCTGCAGTCCGCATGCACCGGCACACCCCTCACACGTTTCGTGGCCCCACAGGGAGCTCCACCGAAGGCCCCAGTGCTGCCGTCCGCATGCGTCCCGCACACCCATTTCGTTTCGTGGCCCCATAGGGAGCTCCACCGAAGGCCCCATGGCTGCCGTCCGCATGCGTCCCGCACACCCATTTCGGCACACCCCTCACACGTTTCGTGGCCCCACAGGGAGCTCCACCGAAGGCCCCAGTGCTGCCGTCCGCATGCGTCCCGCACACCAGGTGTGTGGCGTGCCGACATGGGCGTCGCGGCGCGCGGGCGCTGCCGTCGGGGTTCCCAGGGAAGCCCCCTGCAGAGGCGACGCTCAGAGTCACGAGTACCGAGAGTCACGCAGACCCAAACTGTTCACAGTCGTATACATACATTTACACTGGGCGTATCCATGCACGCATTCATGCGAATAGAATCAATCGCGCGCAGATTCATTCATAATCAGACTCGCTCGCGATCCGACTCGCACGCGCTCAAGCTTTCATATTCGGACCTATCGTCTTCGTTCGTGTTGTGTACACTGCCACGCATTTCGGCACACCCCTCATACGGCTCGTGGCCCCATAGGGAGCGCCACCGAAGAAGATATTCACAATTGCGGTACTCTCAACTGCATATGGTTGGGTCCTTCGCCAGGCGAATTTGTTCCTGCATTGCAGTTTTTGGTTTCCTGCTGACCAGAGTCTGGATTGACCCGGGTCAGATGGGAGCCGGCGGTCAACCGTCCACCAGGTTGCCGCCAGGATCCTCGTAGAACTCTCCACACGCAAAGTTGTGCTCCGACTACGAGGACCGAGCTTCCTTCAATATCAGCTGAAAACTCGCAGAACCCTGACCTTCCAGAGAGCTATTTTTTAGCACTGGAGACCTAAAAACCAACACGAGACGAAACAGCCTAAAAACCAAGACGTATAATAGCTCTGGGATAGGTTTTTAAGTCGCGTGCTATTTTTTAGCCCTCCTGGAAGGTCAGGGAATATGCTGGAGTGCCCCGGGGTCCTGCATCGATCCCCGGTCGGGGGTGGCGCAGCGGTCTCCGATCGCCCGGCGATCGGCCGCCGGGGCCCGAATCTCCCGCGCCCCTTCCCAGGGCTTCGCGATCGGGAGCCCAGCGTCGATCGATTGGCGAGGTATCCTCGCTTCCGGGTGGGTGCAGCTCCCCCTGCGCCGTCTCCCCCTCCTCCTCCTCCTCCTCCTCCTCCTCCTCCTCCTCCTCCTCCCTCGCTCTCCTCCCTCGCTCTCCTCCTCGCTCTCCTCCCCCCCTGGCGCCGTCTATCCCCATCCGACGCTCTGTCCGATTCTGTGGTCGCGCCTGCAGGAGGCATGGTCAGAGAGTGCGCGGGGGGGGCCTGGAGCGCTCGTGGAGGAGGAGCATCGGGCTGAACGAAAGGGGGGGATTGGGAAAGGGGGGGTTACGATTTTTTTCTGCATGCAGCTGGTTTCGGCCCCGCCGAGGCGCCCATTCCTCGATACATGGACGCCTCCCGGCGCCGGGAGGCGCCGGGAGAATCAGCTACGTGAGCTGATTCTCACCCCCCCCCTTTGTTACCCCCCCCTTTCGCCCGGCCCGAGAGTAGGAGGAGGTGTGGTGGCACCAGTGTAGACCCAAGACTCATCCACGGTATTGCAATGAACCCTCCCGCCAAGTTCCTTCGCCACAGGCCCCTGCGAGGATTCGCCCCCACTGGGGGAGGCGCCCCGTTGGAAGACAACCGTGTGAGTCTTGAACTGTTCCTGGCATTTCAACGCCGTGACTCACCATTACGGTTGCGTCTTGACCATCCTGAATCGTGCCAGAACGCTATTGTTTGGGGGACTGCACCACAAGTCAACGCATCCGTTGAGCCCTGACAGTCCGACATCGTGCCAAATCATGATTTGGGACGTTGGCCATGAGAACATGTATTGTTGTAAGCTCTTCAGACAAGTGTGCGCGGCGCGAAGGCGAGAACCACATTTCGAACACATCCCGCCCTCCATCTATTAAACTCTTACAAACTTTCGGCACGAATGTGCGCGGCGCTAAGGCGAGAGCCACAGTTTGAGAACCACCAGCCCTTGTTCCGTGAAGCTGTCGTAAATTTCAAGCTTCAGGATCATATATGGTGTGCACGTCTTAGGCGAAACGCCCGGCCCGTCCTTTCGACCAGCCTCGGGGTGGGACAAAGAGGAGTTTTTTCAAGGAGCAGGAATGGAGGAGAAGGAGGAGGAGGAGGAGGAGGAGGAGCACTCAGGAGGAGGAGAAGTGGGAGTAGGATGGGGAGGAGATGGAGGACGGAGGATGATGAGGAGGATGTTTTGGGGGGGAGGGCGGATGAGGATAAGGTGGAGGAGGAGGGCGGACGATGGTGAAAGGATTATAATGAATAGGAGACGACAACGATAACGAGAAGGAAGCGGAAGAAGACCCCTCCCCCAGGCGCGTTGCGCTGGTTGGGGTACCCAGTCAGCATCCGCATGCTATGGCAGGTCGAGCAGGACACAACACCCGAGAGGAAGAAGTGTAATTTGGAGTCAGTGGATGCGGAGGGAGATGGGAGCAGAAGAGAGAGAGAGAGAGAAGGAGTCAGAGAAGGATAGAGAGAGAGAGAGAGACGAAAGGCAGCACAGATAATGAGAACGAGAGAGAGAGAGAGAGACAGAAACAAAAAACAAAAGTAGCCTCTGGCTCATCCCGTCTATGTGTTCGGGCTGTTTGCATCTGAGTTGTTCTTGGAAGGCCTGCTGGGGTCTCCTCGTCGACGCCCCTCGGAAGCGCGGCCTCCTGAGTGGGCGCTCGGGGCCCCGGGGGGGCCTCCCCGGGGGCCTCTCCTGCAGGGCCTCCCGGGAGCCTCCTGGACGCAGGCTCCTCCTCCTCCTCCTCCTCCTCGTCCTCCTCCTCCTCCTCCTCCTCCTCCTCCTCCTCCTCCTCCTCCTCCTCCTCCTCCCCTCCCCCTCCCCTCCCCCTCCTCCTCCTCCTCCCCTTCGTCCTCCTCCTCCCCCTCCTCCCTCCTCCTCCTCCTCCCTCCTCTTCCCTCCTCCTCCTCCTCCTCCTCCTCCTCCTCCTCCTCCTCCTCCCTCCTCCTCCCCCTCCTCCTCCTCCTCCTCCTCCCCTTCGTCCTCCTCCTCCTCCTCCCCTTCGTCCTCCTCCTCCCCCTCCTCCTCCTCCTCCCCGACCCGAGGCCGACCCCTGCCGCCACCGCCCGCGGACCGGCCCAGGCCGCACGCGCCCACCACCCTCCAGGGGAGCCGCGGGAGGGGCCCCTGCCGGGCGCCGGGGGGCCACACGCCCGCCCTATCGGCCCGCGTGGCGCCGGCGGGCCTCCCGCGCCGCCCGCGGCACGCCGGGGCGGGGGCGAGGCCCCGTCTGCGGCGCCTGCCCGCGCCGTGCCGCCCCGCCGAATGCCGCGGGCCCCGCCGCGGAGGACGCGGCGCTGTAGCGCCCTCGGCCGCCGAGCGGCAGCGAAGAGCGCGCCGAGCTCGCCGCGTCTCGGCGCCCGTCGTCGGAGGAGGAGAGACGGCAGAAGCAGCATTCCAGAGCCCCGAATCATCAGGGGTAACTCGGGTCAGGGCTAACTCGGGTTCCTTTTTCGGGAGTCCGAACCCGAGTGACCCCGGGCCCGAGTTACCCCGAATAACTCGGGCGCCCAATAATTGGGTTAAGTCGGGCCTGTCCCCCTACAGGGGCAGGGACAGGCCCGACTTAATCCTTGGGCTTGTGGCGCTCCGCGCGGCGTTCTTGGAGCCGCGCTGGGCCCCCCCCCGGCGGCGCCTCGGGCGCCGCCCCTGGCGCGCTCTCCTCGCGCCAGGGAGGGGGGGCCAGCGCGGCTCCAGAACATCTGCACGGAGCGCCACAAGCTTATGCTTATGCCGCTTCTTCTTCTTCTTCTTCTTCGATGCCAGCGTCCCGCGCAGGTGTTCCCCGCACCCGCAGGGCGTGGCCCTAGCCGCGGGAGGGCAGCGGCCCGCTCCGCGCCCGGGTCGGCCACGGTGGCCCCGGCGCCCTGCGCCCACGGCGGGCCGCTCGTGCGCCGCAGCCGCGCGGCCCGCTCGCAGCGCCCCCGCCTGCGCCGCGCACGCCCTCGGGGGCCCGCAGCGCCTGGCCGCCGCCAGGCGCTGCGGGCCATGCCGCCAGGGGCGCCGACGGACGCGCCTGCCGCCGCGGCTCCGCCGCACCGCTGCGCGGGACCGCCCGGCGCCGAAGCCCTTGCTCGGGCCGGACGAAAGAGGGAATATTGGGAAAGGGCGGGTTGCGAAATTTGCTGCATGCAGCTGGTTTCGGCCCCACCGAGGGGCCCATTCCTCGATGCACAGACGCCTCCGGCGCCGGGAGGCGCCAGGAAAATCAGCTACGTGAGCTGATTCTCAAACCCCCCCTTTGCTATCCCCCGCTTTCGCCCGACCCGACTTGCGGGGGGCATGCTGGGCCGCCCCCCCCTCGGCTGCGGAAAGCTCCCTGGTGGAGCGGAGTCGAGCGCTGCCCCGTCCCCGCCGCCCGCGCGGACGCCACCAGCCCCGGCAGCCAAGCGCAGTGCGGCCTGCGCGGCTCTTCCAGGGCTCGCGCCTCTGACCCTCCCGGGGGCCTCTGACCTTCCCGGGGGCCTCTACAGGGGGGAGATTCAAAACTAGTAAATTGATAGTCTGGGGACGATTTGGCGACTTTCTTGAGCACTTGGGGAGCCCTTTTCGAGTACTCCTTTATTTTTCGCCCAAGATCTCCCTGTAGGGGGACAGGCCCGACCTGACGTTATGCCGTCCAGCAGGACCGGGCCACTGGAGCAGCACGGCGGCGGAGCAGCGCACGGCGGCGGAGCAGCGCGGGGCGGTGGCCCACTCGAGCCGCGCCAGCCCCGTCTCCGCTCGGCGGGCCCCTCCCGCTGCCAGCACCGCCAGGGCGAGCAGGGCCAGCTTGCCACGCCATGGCCAGGAGGCCCAGGCCGTAATCTCGGAGCATCTCGGGGCTGGCGTCGGAGAGGTGCCCGCCATCGCCTCTGCCCTTATAATTCTTAGACAGCCATCTTGAGCCACTATCTATTGCGGCGGCGTCGCGCTTCCCCACCCCTTGTTTGCCAGCCTACCGAGCACACACCTGCTCGAGGGCCCCTGATTCAGATCCGTCTTTTTGCCTGTATACCATGACCGTCTTTCGTCCTGGAAGATTCCAGAGTGTTTCGCAGTTGCCCCGGTTGCCGCGGTGATCGTCGGAGACGGAGGGCGTGGAGTAGTGGGTGTTTTGTTGGAGACCCAGATTGTGGAGTATTGGTTGTTGTTCGTGAGACGGATGTTGTGGAGTTGTTTGGGTGTTGTGTTGGGAACGGAGGTTGTGAAATAGGAGGATCTGTGCAATTGGCATCTTGGGAGGGGGTTGTGGATTATTGGGCCGTTGTCGGAGGCGGGGAGTATAGAGTCCTGGGTGCTGTGCTGGAGACGGAGTTTTCAGAATACTTATCTCAAGTGTGGCGTGTGATGTGGTGTCATTTTGTTGTTGCGGACGGAGACCATAGAGCATTCGGTGTTGTGTGTGGTGTAGAGGAGCATTCTCAAGTTGCATGGTGCCGTGGAGGGCGTGCCGTGTTGTGACCAGGCTACACGAGGCACGGGCAAGCATGCTGTTGAGTTTGGGCAAACATGGTTTGAAGCCATATGCCCCCAGGTAGAGACGAGTCGGGTAGAGTGGAGTTGGGTAGAGCTGATATGAGTTGAGCAAATGAAAAAAACGAAGCGAGTAAGAGTAGACAGTTGGTAGAGTCAAGCACAGTCCGAGCAGAATTATTCGCCAGACATTGCTTGCAATTTGGGGCGTGTAGTTCTGCTCTTAGGAACTGGACCGCGTCTCCAGTGTGGCGGCTCCGTGCAGGCCGTCGCCGCCCCGTCGCCGCCGCGTCGCCGCCCGTAGTTTGTGTTGTGTGTTGGTCTGTCAGCTTCGCGCCGGCCGTCGCCGCCTCGGCGCCGCCTCGTCGCCGCCGTAAGATTGCAGTTTGTGCGCGAGAATTGCGCCTGCGCCGCGTTTTGTGATCGCTCGCAACTTAGATTGCACCACAGATATTGCACAACATAGACTGCACCACACAGATTGCACAACATATATTGCAAAAACCTATTTATTGCACCATAGAGGTTGCAAATCATGGGTTGCACCACGTAGATTGCACAACATATATTGTACACCCGCATCGGTTGCACAACATGCGTTAAACAGCATTGGTTGCACAACACCGGTTGTTCCGCATATTTTGCAGCACGTAGACTGCACCACATATATGCCCGCAGATATTGCATCAAGTACACGTCACGATGTTGGATTCGCGACTTTGGTTCGGTGTTTGACCTCCGACAAAATGGTTCGCACTGACTCCATTGCACATCATTGGTTTCATCACATATGTTGCATCACAGAGATTGCACAGCATAGATTGAGACACCTAGTTTGCACAGCATACATTACAACGCACTGGTATGACCACATACACTGCACAGCAACATCTATTGCACAACGTCTGTTGCTAGACACTTTTTTCCTCGGGAAGGGCGTGGGCCCAGGGTTGTCTTTCAGGAGTTTACCCTCGGAATCGACGGGCGTAGGGCCTGATTTGCGGTAAACCACGAGGTCGCGTAGGACGGGCGGAATTGAATGTTGAAGATGTCCTTAGCGAAACGCCTGTTTTGCAGAACATGTTGAGGATGTCTCGAGCGAAACATTCGTGTTCTCCACATCCAAAGTGGGGTTTTTGTTTTCTCTGGACACCCTGCGCAGAATCACAGGAACAGGAGCACTCCATCTCTTCTCACTCACTCACTCACTCACCACATACACACTCAATCACACACGCACGCATTCATCATCCCCGCCACATTATCATCATCATCATCATCACCACCACACCATCACCACTTACTCACTCATTCGCTCGCACACTCACATTCACTCAGCATCATCACTCATTTACACACTCACTCACCACCTACCATCCACACACACTTCGTCGTCAGCATCATCATCGTCTTCACTCACTCACTCGATGAGCCGGTACAGACCTCATGAGTTCTTCTCTCTTCGCACTTTCATTCACTCAATGAGTCACACACCATCACCATCATACCACCATTAACCGTATCATCATCACTCATTACATTCTCACCATCAGAAATCACTCATTCACTCACAACATCACCACCACCCTCATCATCATCATCATCATCATCATCATCATCATCATCATCATCATCATTATCATCATCATCATCATCATCATCATCACTCACATCGTCGTCATCATCATCAATACCACCACTGACATCACAAGCATCATCATTATCATCACTCACATCGTCACCATCACATACATCATCACCATCATCATTCACCCGCGCACGCATTCATTCATTTTGAGAACGTATCAGGCGGGAGCCTCGTCTGCGAGTGAATTGCGAGAAAGTCTCAGGCGGGAGCCACCTCCTTTGGGGCCCGCAGCTCGTATGCGTAATCCGAGCAGGTCATCGGCCTCCTGCAGTTGTCCTAAGTTTTGGGCCCCTGAGGCATGAATCTGAAGGAAGTATCAGGCGGGAGCCCCGTCAGTGAGTGATTCGCGAGGAAGTCTCACGCGGGAGCCCCCTCCCTATGGGGCTCGCAGCTCAGTTGAGTAATCCGAGCGGGTTATCGGCCTCTTTGTAATTGTCGTCATTTTTGGGTTCCTGAGGCCTGAACGCGGGGGATGTATCAGGCGGGAGCCTCGTCTGTGTGTGATTTGCGAGGAAGTCTCACGCGCGAGCCCTCCCTATGGGGCTCGCAGCTCGTATGAGTAATCCGAGCGGATCGTCGGCCTCCTGCGAACTGTCGTCATTCTTAGGCCCTTGAGACATGAATCTGAAGGAAGTATCAGGCGGGAGCCCCGTCCCCATAGGGCCCGCAGCTCACGTTCTTAGTCCGAGGCGGGTCATCGGCCTCTTCTAACCATCTTCATTGTTGGGCCCCTGAGTCCTGAATATGGAGGAAGTATCAGGCGGGAACCTCGTCTGTGAGTGAATTGCGAGAAATTCTCAGGCGGGAGCCCCCTCCGTATGGGGCCCGCACTTCATGTTCGAATCCGAAGCGGGTCATCCGCCTGAGGAAGTATAAGGCGGGAGCTTCGTCTGTAAGTGAACTGCGAGGAAGTCTGAGGCGGGAGCCCTTTCCCTATGGGGCCCACACCTCACGTGCTTTCTCTGGGTCGTCATCCGGCGCGCGCTTCCTCTGGGTCGTCCTCCGGCGCGTAGCCGCTGGGACGCACGCCGTGCGTTTCCTCCAGGTCGTGTTCCACACGAGGAAGAAGAGGAGGAAGGAGGAGGAGGAGGATGCAGGACGAGAAAGAGAAGGAGCCAGAAGAGAAGGAAGCAGATGAGGAACAGGACGATGAGGAGGAGGAGGAGGAGGAGGAGGAGGAGAATGTGCCTTATGAGGCCCCAGGAGGTTCCGGGAGGCCCAGAAATCTCCAGGAGGCCCGAAGAGGCCCGAGGAAGCCCAAGGAGGAGGCAGGAGGCTAAAGGAGGAGGCAGGAGGAGGCAGGAGGAGGAGGAGGAGGAGGAGGAGGAGGAGGAGGAGGAGGAGGAGGAGGAGGAGGAGGAGGAGGAGGAGGGGAGGGGAGATAGGAGGAGGAGGAGGAAGGAGGAGGAGGGCCTGGAGGACCAGAGAAGTGAGTCAGAGGATATCCCCAGAACATTCAACCAGCCTCTCATATAGGGTCCTACCGTCGGAGCAATGTGTTTTAGATTGTCCTCTCCTGGAGACGAGAATTCAGAGGATCTGTCAGGTGAAGTGCTTGCTTTCACGTGCCCACGTCTTGAGGATGTCTCGAGCGAAACGATTGGTTTCACGCGTCCAGGATGCATTACCAGGTGTCTAGCATGAGGAATTGTTGAGGATGTCTCGAGCGAGAGGCTTGTTGTCACGCGTCCAGCTCGCCCAGGCGGATGCCTAGCATGAGGATGTGTTGAGGAAGTGTCGATCGAGACGCTTGTTTGCACGTGTCAAGGTTGCCCAGGCGGATGTCTAGCATGAGGATGTGTTGAGAATGTCTCGAGCGAACCACTTGTGTTCACGTGTCCAGCTCGCCCAGGCGGATATCTAGCATGAGGATGTGTTGAGAATGTGTTGAGCGACACGCTTGTTTTCATGGGTCCATGTCGCCCAGGCGGATGTTTAGCATGCGGAGGTGCTGAGAAGGTCTCGAGCGAAACACTTGTTCTCACGTGCCCAGGTCACCCAGGTGGATGTCGAACATGAGGATGTGTTGAGAATGTCATGAGCGAACCACTTGTTTTCACGTGTCCAGCTCGCCCATGCGGATGTCTAGCATGAGGATGTGTTGATGATGTCTTGAGCGACACGCTTGTTTTCACGGGTCCATGACGCCCAGATGGATGTCTAGCATTAGGATTTGGGCAGGATGATTCGAGCGATCGCTTGTCCCCAGCACGTTCCGTAGTGTGTCCCCTTGGCACGTTCCGCGGTGCATCCCCATCGCACGTCTTCTGGCACGTTGTTTGGCGCGTCCCTTGGGACATTCCGCGGCGCGTGATCCTGGCATGTCCCTCTGTCAATTAACTAGCTCTGAGACGGCTACTATGTGCCTAGGCAGCTCGGGCTGAAGATCAAGATCAGTTCGGTCAGGACTCGGTTGCAAAGCAGGACTCGATCCACAACGTTGTAGAGCACAATCGCAGAATGGCACATCGCATTCCAGCACGGCGTAGCAGTTCACAGCCTCTGGCACTGTACATCAAGGTCGATACACTCGGCCTTGCAACTTGGCACGTTCCGTGGCGCGTCCCGTGGCGAGTTCCCCTGGCACGTCGTTCGGCGCGTCCACTGGCATGTCCCGTGGCACGTCAATTGGCATGTTCCGTAGTGCGTCCCTTTGGCACGTTCCGCAGGGCGTCCCCATGGCACGTCCCCTTGCACGTCCCCAGGCGCTCCCTTTGGGATGTTCCGCGGGGCGTCCCCTTAGCATGTCCCTCTGTCCACTAGCTCTGGGGCAGCTACTGTGTGCTCAGGCAGCTCGGGCTGAAGATTCAGATCAGTTCGGTCAGGACTCGGATGCAAAGCAGGACTCGATCCACAACGCTGTAGAGCACAATTGCTGCATGGCACATCGCAATTCAGCACGGCGCAGCACAGCACAGCCTTCGGCCCGGTACATCAAGATCGATACATTTAGCCTTGCAACTTGGCACGTTCAGTGGCGCGTCCTCTGGCGCGTCCCGTGGCACGTCCATTAGCATTTTCCGTAGCGCGTCCCTTTGGTACGTCCCGCGGTGCGTCCCCATGGCACGTCCTCTGGCACGACCCCTGGCACGTCCCTTGGGACGTTCCGCGGCGCGTCCCCCTGGCTTGTCCCCCTGTCAAGTAGTTGTATGGCAGCTACTAAACGCTCAGGTAGCTCGAGCTGAATATCCAGATCAGTTCGGTCAGGACTCGGATGCAAAAAGGGAGTCTCGATTCACAACGCTGTAGAGCACGGTCGCGGCATGGCACATCGCATTCCAGCACGGCGCAGCGCAGCACAGCCCTTGGTAAGGTATGTCAAGATCGATATTTTCAGCATTGCAAATGCCCGTCGCTCAATCAAGTGTCTTGGCAGCGTTGCCATGCCTTACGTTTTATATTCCTTTCCAGTTTCGTGGGTCAATCATGTTGGGGTCCACGTTGGCTAACCTGATAGAGTAGAGTCGACCAGACCGAACCAGCACACACTTCAAGCATACAACGTCAAAGTTTTGAGTAGAAGTCGTAGGAATTGGGTCGGCGTTCATATGCGGAACGCACGTAGATGAGGTCGTGGTGGTGCGAAGGGCTATGTAAGAGCAGATCCATGGCAGTCAGGAAGTCACTGCTCCTACGCCCTCACTCGTTCTTTTGTCTCCTCCTTCCTCTCCTCCCTTCTTCCCTCTCCCTCCTACCTCGGGGTCAATTCCGAGGCCGTTTCACAGCCTTGCAGCTCTGGTCGAAGCCGAGGGGCGACCGATTAGGGCGTAGCCGCAGCGCCGGTGGCCGAAGGCCAGTAACTCGAGAGGGGTAATCGGGAGGCTCGCGCGAGTCGCGACTTGCACGGGAAGCCGGACGTGGGGACGCGTTTGAGGCCAGTGCAGGGTGTCGTTGTGATCGTGAGGTCGCGGACGAAGAGGATGTTTCCATTTTTCTGCAGTGATGATGAGAAGCAGAGCCAGGGGCAACGATAGGTGGGGACAGGTTTTGGGAGGGACGTATCGACGCCCGAGCGCCTATCCGTCGCCGATCAGTGCCCTACAGCCCATCCTGCCCAGGGACGTGCGGTTTCGCCATCGGGGGCCTGCGTCGCCGATCTATCGGCGATGTATCGTCGCTTCCAGGTCGATGTTGCCCCCCCTAACCTGGTTCCCCCCTTTTGTTGCCCCCCTGAGGAGACAGCGGAGCAGGAGAAGGGAGATGAAGAGGGAGACGGGAAGTTTTTGGGGGACAAGTGAAGTCGGGCCAGCGCCCTGGCTATGTTCGCCTCTGTTGCGGGACGGCGCTTGTGCAATTGCACAACGCTGCACCGACATGTAGGCATTGCAAAATCCAATTGTACTTCGATGTGGGGGCGAGGGAGAGGAGGAGGGAGGAGGAGGGGGGGAGACAGGATGGATGAAGGGGGCCGTGTAGCTGCCAGGATGGCGCACTTCATGACAGGACGGCACTGTCCTTCCGGGAGTTCGTCTGGCTCATCGTGACCTTCAGAGACGGGAAGGCACGGCAAGCATGAGGAGAACGAGGGAGGTGGGATGAGCAGAAGGTGCAGGGTGCGAGGGGAAGAGTTGGCAGAGGTGGGGGAGGAGGAGCAGGGCGAGGAGGAGGTTGGGTAGACGGGGGCGTGCGAGAAGGAAGAGGAGGGGCGGAGAGAGGTGAGGCTCGGGACGGAACGTGGAGGGTAGGAGAAGGACGAGGATGATGATTTTGATGATGATGATGATGTTAATGTTGATGATGATGATGATCAACATGATCATCATCAGCCAGCCTGATCATGATGATGATGATGATGATGTTACTGATGATGTGTATGATGGTGATGACGACGGTGCTGATGCTGTTGATGATGGCGGCAGTGGTGATGATGCTGATGATGACGAAATTGATGCAGGTGGTGGTGGTGGTGGTGTGTGTGATGATGGTGGTGATGATGGCGATGCTGATGCTCCTGCTGATGATGATTACGACGATGATAATGATGACGATGATAATGATGATGATGATGATGATGATGATGATGATGATGATGATGATGATGATGATGATGATGATGATGGTGACGATGATGATGCTGATGATGATGATGCTGAAGATGCTGATGGTGCTGATGACGATGATGATGATCATTATGCTAAATCTGCTGCTGACAGTGACAACGATGAGGATGCAAATGATGAAGGTGATGCCGATGACGATGATGATGCTGCTACTGATGCTGACGATGCTGATGTTGATGTGCATGATGTTGATGATGGTGATAATATTGTGATGATGAATGTTAGGATGATGCTGATGATGATGACGAGGATGATGCTAGTGATGGTGATGGTGATGATGCTGATGCGCATGATGCTGATTATGGTACGTAGCATGATGAGCGTGCTGGTAACGACTATTACGACAACGATGTTGATGATGTTGATGGTGATGTTGATGATGCTGATTATGCTGATTATGATGCTGATGCTGGTGGTGATGCTGATGATGAGTGTTGGAATTGATGGGGATCATGGGGGCATGTGATGATGAAATCGAAGGTGAAGGGATCAGGGGAGGTCAGATGGTAGGAGGAGGAGCCGCTGTAGCCGTGGAGGCGAGGATCTATCGAGTCACCTGGTCACTTTGGCGTTTTGGGCGAACGCACAGAACCTTGGCATTTCTCGGACGTGTGCATGTTCTCGGGGGTGGACAGAACCCCCACAGTGACACGTCGATTAGTGAATTGTCCGTTTTCGGTTCTCGAGAGGGCGCCTTGGCCGTTATTTTCCAGGCTTGCGCCCGCCAGGTTTGGGCCTCAGGTCGTTTTCACTAAACCACGTTTTACTAAAGGGGGGTCTGTCCATCCCCGATTTTCTTCCGACGAGGACCATCGAGAAGCATCCCGAAACGTCTTGTGAAAAAGAACGTCCCAGCGACGGCAGGGAACAACTTGGCGACGCGGGCGCAGCTCCTCCAGCGGAGATTCGCGGAGTTTCACCAGGTCCCTTCGCCAGACTGGCCTCGCCTCGCGGCCTTCGCCACGGGCGGCGAACATATCCGTGTTCGCGCCCTCGTGGTCTGGATTCACGGGCGCGATCCCGCGTATACGCGGTCGCTCGGAGTTGCGTTTCGCGCGGGGCGTCCGCGGACCAAGTTTCGCATCCGCGGGTTTGCGGCGGTGGGGGCCTGGCCTGACGGGCCGCGGAGACGGATCTGTTGTTCGCCAACGATTTCTCCTCGCGGTCTGGGCCAGTGAGCTATCAATCTCCGTCGGCGCGGCACGAGAGCGCCAAGGTGACCGCGCGCCGTGCGAGCGCGCTGCGGCGCGCCCCGCAGCGCGGGGCGACGAGCGACGTGCGAGCATTGGGGAGACCCGTCCGAGCAGTCCCGAACCCGTGGCACCGCGGCGCAGCCTGCGCGCCCCCTGCGGATAGGAGCCCCACGTCGTCCTGCGTTGGCGGGGACCCCCGCAAGAAGGACAGAGTAGGGGGCCACATGCGAACCCTACCCCTACCCCCCACGATTTCTGAGGGGAAGGGTGGGGTTCACTTCGCTCGGGAGCTCTTGAACGAAGTGAACCCCACCCTCCTCAGAAATCGTGGGGGGTAGGGGTAGGGTTCGCGTGTGGCCCCCTACAGAGGCGTCCAAACCAGGGCGCGAGCGAAACGGTGTTGTGGCGATTTCGCGGACCTTCTGCGTCTTGCCGTCGTCTGGTCGCCAACGTGGAGCGAAGGCACAGCGAGGGAGAACGAGCAGGAAGCGACAACGGAACACATTGTTAGCTCGAGCCCTGGTTCAAATACTCGTGTTTTCGATCCTCCATGGCAGGTGCGCGATGTAGACTACGACGACGACGGCGGCCCCTGCCCATACAGTCGGCCCGGATTAGTAGGTCCACCCTGCCAGCTCAAGGGTGCCCTTGTGTCCTGTGCCTCGCGACCCGTGCTTCCTGCATTCCTGTTGCATTGTGGCCTTCGGAAGAATCTTGTGTCCTCTCGCGCGTCCTGTCCAATCAAGACCGACTGCACATCAAGTGTCATTGTTTTTTTCCACAATCAAGCCAAGTTTTTTCAATTTGTCAACCAAGGTAGGCCTGGGCGGGCTCGGAGAGCGATGGGGATCCAGATGGGTGCGTGCAGAAGCGACGGACCCCAACGGCAGCTTAGAAGCCTCCAAGACTGTTCAGGACAGCTCAACATTGCTGCCAAGAGGCCTTCTAGATGGACTAGGCGGCCCTGACAGGCTGGATGCCCCCCGAGAAGTCAAAAATAATTGCTTCCCGATTCGGATTCTTGCTGTTCCGCCGCTCAAGGCGAGCCAAGTCGGCCCAATAGGCCCGCAACACCATCCAATGACAGCCCAAAAGCCCCCCAAAATGACCACAGGAGGTGTCCGAGACAGGCCATAAGAGTCCCACAAGACGCCCCCCATCGCAAGCAATTCGGAGGAGGTGCAAAGAGAGGAGGGGGATGTGCACAAGAGGGAGGAGGAAGAGGAGGAGGGGGAAAAGGAGGAGGAGGAGGAGGAGGACGACGACTAGCAGGGGGAGGAGGAGGAGGAAGGGGAGCAGGAACAGCAGGACGAGGGGGAGGGAGAGAGAGAGAGAGAGACAACAAAGAGAGAGAGAGAGAGAAAGAGAGGGAGAGAGAGAGAGAGGGATACATATATAGAGAGAGATGGAGAGAGAGAGAGAGAGAGAGCGGGGGGGGCAGCCTCCCTCCCCCTCGTCCTCTCGGTCCTCCTGGCCCTCGTCGTCCCCCTCGTCCTCCTCCTCCTCATCCCTCTCCTTCTCCTCCTTCCCCTTGTCCTTCTCCCGACGCCCTCTCCTCATCCTCCTCTCCTCCTCCTGCTGCTCGTCCTGACCCACCTCCTCCTGCTCCTCCTCCTCTCGTTCCTCCTCCTCCTCCTCCTCCTCCTCCTCCTGCCTGTCCTCCTGCCTCCTCCTTGCTTTGCAAGAAGCCGAGTTGTGGCTGCCAATTTTGCAAACAGCCGAGGTTTGGCGAGTTTTGGCTGCCAATGTTGCAAACAGCCGAGTTGTGGCTGCCAGTTTTGCAAACAGCCGAGCTGTGGCTGCCAATTTTGCTAACAGCCGAGCTGTGGCTGCCAATTTTGCAAACAGCCGAGGTGTGGCTGCCAATTTTGCGAACAGCCGAGTTGTGGGAGAGGGAGCTGGGGTGTCGCTGGCCCACGCACAGACTTGTGACAAACTTAGGGGGAGAGAATTTTGCAAACAGCTTTCTCTAATCTAGCCACAAGTCCAAGAGCCTTATCGCTTCTTACAGTTCTGCCGACAACTAGTCTTCCCAACTTTTGTTTTTCCATACGTTATAAGAATTGTGTATTTCAGAATCCGCTGCCCTTATAACACGAGAAATCTTCATGTTGTGATGTTAAATTGTGGCCACTGTAAGAATCTATTCGTGGCCACAGTTCAAGAACTCACCATAAGGATTTCCCATGTTGTCAGGGCAGCGGATTCTGAAAACAAGCTCCCCTTAACAGCATATCCCCATTCTCCTCCACAGGATCCTCGCCTTGCGTTCTGGCGCTTGAGCGAGCATGCCGGATAATTTGGACTTGTGGCAAGATCAGGGGAACTGTTTGCAACATTCTCTCCCCCTAAGTTTGTCACAGGTCTGTACGTGGGCCAGCGACAACTCAGCTCTTTCTTCCGCAACTCGGCTGTTTGCAAAATTGGCAGCCACAACTCGGCCGTTTGCAAAATTGGCAGCCACAATTCGGCTGTTTGCAAACTTGGCAACCACAACTCGGCTGTTTGCAAACAAAAAAAACAACTCGGCTGTTTGCAAAAAAATGGAACCCGCATCCCGGCTGTTTGCAACCGCCTCTTTGCAGGGAGGAGGAGGAGGAAGGGGAGGATGACTATGAGGAGGAAGTAGGAGGAGGAGGAGGAGGAGGAGGAGGAGGAGGAGAGGAGGATGATGATGATGAGGAGGAGGAGGGGGAGGAGGAGCAGCAACAGCAGTAGCAGCAGCGGCAGCAGCAGCAGCAGCAGTAGCAGCAGCAGCAGCAGCAGCGGAGGGCAGAGGATCATATACTTGTTCCAGCACTGCCGCAGTTCGGGGTCAAGCAAGGAATGCGACAGCCACCCGCGCGCATGTCCAGGGCGGCTCCGCCTGCGCAGGCGCGTGTCTAGCTCAAGTGACGCGCTGCCCCTGACGCGCTAGCTGCCTCTGGCGCGTTTCTTTTTGCTATCGAGTGATTGGCGTGCTGCCGCTTTCTACAGCGCGCGTCCGCCAATTGTGTTTTCGTGCCCCACCTGCAAAGAGCGTGGTCGCGCGGACGGCTCGTGCAAGAATACGGATTGCCCTGAGTACCGCGTAGGTCGCACTGGAGGGCACTTTGAGCTGAAGCGGCTGCGGTCGGCGGTCGGGGACTCTGCGAACTTCTTCGGTGACTTTGTGCAGGGCGGGAGCGTTGCTTCGCTTCGCCATCGGCACGACGTTCGCATGCGCGTTGCCTCTGGTATGCATCTGCGACAACATATCGCCAACGTCT